TATGATGTTGTCATATGGTCCTAAGGCGCTAACACTTGCAGTTATGGCATCTAGGAAAAGTTCCAAGTCCTGCCAGGGTGGGCGGTACGCGGTGCCTATAAGGAGCTTGGTTTTGTTCACTGTGAGGCCCAGCCAGAGCTGCTCGACATTCGAGTGCTCAGGGTGAGCCTTGACTCTTGCGTTTATACCATTCCTAATATAGAAAGCCACACCCCCGCCACGCCCTCCTCGTGTAGAGACAGGTCGAGGTATATGTTTGAATTTGTACCCAGAGATACTTGGAGCGCGGTCCTCCTCACCACTGCGCAACCATGTCTCATTAATAGCCATGATGTCCACAGAGTGGTTACCCATGGCGATCAAGAACTCGTCCTGTTTAGTCCCCAGAGATCCCGCATTTAATAGACCAAACTTAATGTATTTACTGGGAGCCATAAGTACTATTAGGTGCATGCATTACATGTGTGAGAGTATAGGCATGGTGTGGCGAAGTAAGGTGGATGTATGTATGGGAAGTATGTATAACTAGTAAGTGGTTAGGGTTGAGTGAATATAAGATATGTAAATAATTAGAACTAGGTGTAAATATGAATTGTACATATAGTGTAAATAAATAGTTTATAGCATATGAGTGTTGAGACATCTGTGTTAAGTAGTTTGCGCGTACATGCAGTCTATGGTTGAACATGGTACAAAAAAGATAATGGCAATCAAAATTTAGCCAGTTTATATATAAAAAAGTTATTACATCAAGGTGGACTTTACTATAGCTTAACTGTTTATATTGCAGTGCCGAAGACACGGGATAAGTCCCCCTCTGTGCGGATCCTCTGCGCCTTGTCCCCCGGCGCCTTCCTGACGAGGATGCGGCCCTGCTTGGTCCAGACAAACTTCCAGCCAAGAGCTCCGGCCGCTTCCCGTGCTTGACGAAATAACAGGCGGTTGACTTTCGTCAACCGCTCGTTAACGAAGAACCGCTGCGCCGGCCCGGACATGCCAAGATCCGTCGTAGTTGCGCCTCGTCGCACTCGCGCGCTCGCCATAAGTTGGTCCCGCAGGTCTCGGCGAGCAAGGCGCACCACTATCGGCCGCGGGCGTGATACTGATGGTCCCGCTGAGTTCGTTGCATTGAGCTGCCTGCCACCAACACGCTCTGCACTGACGATATCCCGATCATCCAGGCTGATCCCTAACTTTTGCCCTAAGGCTATAATTATGTGGGTAGGGTTTTCCGCCCTTTCCTCTGGCAAGTTGGACACCTCAATATCGTTAGCGAGAAGCTCCTGGTCCCTTTCATTGAGCTCTCGCCTGAGCTCCTCCACTATGTCGCCTACGTTGTCGGAGTTCGTGGGCCTCGAAGTAGCACGCAGCTCAAGTGCATCTACCCTGGCCTCCAGACCGTCGACGCGTGCGCTGCAGCAGCTCAAAGCAGTCTTAAGCTCAGACATTTCCACCTCCATTTCTCTCCTAAACACCTGTATCTCCGCACGAACCGCTCTCAGCTCGTGAAGGATTGCGTGCAGGTCACTGCTAGGTACAGGTGACGACTCACGAGTGGTGGTGGCGGCATTGAGCGACGTTACGTCTCTGCTTGGTGTGCTGGATTCCATGACCGAAATACCTGCGACGTCGCTTGGAGGACTTTGCGTGGGGCCTCTGACTGGGGTATCATTTCTGTTGTCCCTAGCGATGTTTTTCTTACACTCGGGACATCGCCAAGTGGGAGGAACGGAGGCTTTAGCAGGAAATCCGCCACACACTCTGCAGTAGAGAACCCTACACTTCCCACACCTAGCGCCATCTACCGGCGAGGCAAAGCGGGAGCAACCTCCACATTTGATACCTGGCATCCTCGGTGACAGATCTTGTTTCAGTGGTTCCGGTCAGACTCGCCAGATGGCAATACAGGTGATCGATTACACCGATCAGAGAGCAGCCTGTCCCCACGATACAGATGGCGCTGATAGAGATGCGCGATTGGCCCCCAGTATAGTCTGTGGCAACGATGTCAAAACTCACGTCGAGCAAAACAAATTAATTATTTTGGCGGGTAACCGTATAAGTTTATACCAAAAACCGAGTTTTAACTTATTGATTTACAGCCCAAGGTCGCACTATTTGAAGCTCACTACAAAACTGTGTATAGCTGTTAAACACTATGTAAACAATACTGAACAATAATAAAGTTTTTTGATGCTTTTGACTTTTATTTAAATTTATATTTGGGAGTCGCTTTGCGAATGACTAAGCCGAAACAGACGTCAACTGTCCTAGTCAACTTCATATAGCCTTCTGATTCTACGCTTACGCCATCAAGTTAGAAAATCGGTACCACATTTCTTAAATCCTAACAAATAAATTCACACGCGCCCGGCGAGTGTAGGTACTCATGTAATCATGCTTATTATATTGTGTATTAGGCTTGGCACCGACTTCAAACCTATGAATAGGTAGCACATAGAATTGATAGTGTTTTATTATTAATATTAAAAGTATTAGCTTCGCGTACGTAAGAGTGCTATTAGAATATCAATTTTAATTACTTATTTGACACTTTTTTGTTTTTGAAGTCGGTTTTTTTAAACGTAGTTTTTTTTTTTAAAATCTCTTTTTTACGCGTGAAGAAAAATCATTAAAATTTTCACGTAGTTATCTCTGATACCTTATTCACAACATGTTCCGCCAATCAGCTAGTCATCTAAACTACAAAACCAACCATACAATTGTACAAAAAACATTCCCTTTCATCCTTACACACATACATACACAGACGTACAAGCAAAAAAGCAAGAACAAAGCGAAAAATCTAAATGCCTACGGTCCAGGACACAAAGAGAGACCTAGGTAATATTTTAAAGGCTTCAAATGATGGCCACGACTAATACATCAAGCAGACAAAGGGAAGGGAGGTAAGTAGAGATGATACTGTCTACAATGATACTCTTTGGAGAGAGAAATATTGTCTGTAGTGTAGTCTGCGTTGTTAGACGTGGCGAAGAGTTTTTTTTTTGTATTTTCTTAAAACAACACAGAGTTTAAATTATTGTTGGGGAGTTTTAACTTGTATAAAGGGTTAATACTCAATATATTTATTGCATTCCACAATGTGAACTTAGGTGGTAGGGTACATAAGGATATACATATATTAGTAAGGGAAAGTATATAAAACCATATTGTGATATAGAGGCTTGAAAATAAAGCAGCAAATATTATTATTGATTTTGGTACCATGATTAGGAACGTTTAGAAAAACAGAGAGACTCGTTTTGATAAGAAAAGAACTAAATGTAAATAAAGTGATAAAAAATAAAAGATTTTGATTTTGATTTCGATTTGAGAGAAAGAAAGACAGAGAGAAAATATTTTTTCTGACCAACATAAAAATTTTAACCAGAAAAACACTTTTCTGATACTGTTTTTTCATGGAACCATTTTTCTCTCGCTAGCCAACCATCGAGTGTTGGCGATGAAATGCGAAATGCCTAGGGCATTAAGCCAACCCATGTACTTCATATAGTTAAATAAATATCAAAAAAAAAAAAATATTATAAAAAGCACTTTCTTTAATACTCATTCTGTTTTTTTCGCCTTACGCATCTAAACGGCCAGTACACTGCAAACAAACTACTCGTATTCGAGTCCCCTTCAAACAAGGGGCGGTATAACAAACAGACTCTGTGGGGAGCCCTACACAACGATTTGTAGGTCAAACTAATAATAATAATGTTTAATCATATATTTGCATATGTATTTATAAGTATTATTATATATATATGACGGCGCGTCGATTATTTAAATTGAATTTTGAAAGAGGTTTTATCACAATTCATCAGACGAGGGTACAATGAATTGTACTCTGGCGGAACGTCAAACAGACAGTTCTGCGTGAGCATTATGGTGGAGAGCGAACGCTGTGACTGTCATAGGAGACGGATTGCCGACGTCCGTTATTTTTGTAATTTATTTGGTCTGATTACAAAATCCTATGCCCTGCGATGGACTGTGAAAACGATGATCGGGATGTTGATGTTTTTACCAACCCCCCGGTGCTTTTAAAGTATCTACCCACTGTTTTACGTAAAATTGTCGATTTTGACAAGTTTCGTAATCTACTAACACGATAGCGTCATTATGACTTTCCAATGCCACTTCGTTGAAATAATTCTTTAGAATGGTAATCTCGTACATAATAACAAATGGATATTTGACATAATGCGGTAAATTAAAAAAAATGACCGTTCCTTTCAGTGATTTACGTTTAGAATATTAATGCGCAGTTATTGTTTATAATTCATTACAAGACATCTCGTAATATAATTCTATTACGACATCGCCGAACGCCAATGATCACTCATTTTGAATTAACAGATTACGAACTTTTAGCAAAATGACAATTGAATCGTGTAGGAATGACAACACTTTGAAAATAGACTCGGCCCCCTGTTATAATAAAAGACAAAAAAGCTACCAAAGACACAGAAAAAAAAATCACACAAAATTCGTCACCTAAAAAAATATGTCCTCAACACTTGAATCCGCCCATTACTCTCAATAGCAACACCGCCACTATTCCCTAAAGTGTTGCCACTAAATAAATAACTCCCGTTTTCATGGCAGTTTTGGGGGGCATTTTTTTCAATCAGTAACATTTTTTACGAGGGAATCTTTTTTATTTGTGGTGGCGACATTGTTTTATTGAAGGTGAGTGTTTTGGTGTTTCAGTGTGCTTGGCAAGGTAAAGATTTATGTAGATAGTTGTGTTTAGTGGTATATTTACCCAACAGAACTTTTCCATATTGTTATGACATGATAAATAATGTTTTTTTTAATGGGACCAGCCCGCCGCAACCTCCCAAAACCGCTGCAACTCCTGTAAGCCAGGATCTACAGTAGATACAACCATGAAAACACCGGAACTCTCAAGGGATATGAATGACTGTCTTGGATCCCGCAACCAAATAACTCAGAAGATATTATTTGAGGAGAGGGCGCTGGATCGCTTAATTCCCTATATTATGGTTGAGTTGGGCGATGCTGATGTACGTGTCATGTTCGTGAACGGGCGCCATCAATTGGGCCTGGTCAGCTCCGGACTGTCTATTGTTTATATTTGAATAAATATTAGTGTTACGCTGTTCTCACACAATTGAACGAACTGTTTGTAAAAGGAATCCGTATGTGTAACTGATTTAAAAAGAGTACTTAAACGTTATTGTAAATGTAATTATGTAAATATTAACACCGCAATTAGGCGTAGCTAGCTACAGTACAGCGCCATCTATTACGTAATTGAGTTACTTATTTATAAAAACTAGAGGGGTTATGTATGAATTGTAAAGATTGTTGTTGTTGGAAAACAATTTTCTGAAATTGTAAAACAATGTTTTTTAAAAGAGTAACGAATGGAGTTTCTTGCTCGTTCTTCTCCATTCGAATCTACAATTTGAAATGAGCACCTAGCTTCACTGACGAACAAACTGACAGATTACTTCTCTATTTTGACGTTTCAAAGTAGCTATTTATGGTTTAGTTGAAATAAATGATTTTGACTTTTCTTGCACTTTCTTCTCCGACTGACTGGTGAGTACATTTTTTAATTTAAAATATTTTGTTTGGCGTTCAAAAGATATTGAATGAAATGATTTGACTTCGATTGTCAGATCTGAATTAAAATAATTCAATTTCCTGATTTGATTTTGTTAATATATTTTTTAAAATTTTTCTTTTTAATATTATCAAAAGTATATAAAATCCAGTATCAATAATTATATTATGTACAAAATCAAAATACTTAACAAAAAATAATAATAACACTCACCAATTCTCGAAAACTCGGTCCAAAATCTGTGTGTAAAAAATAAAGTTACATTAGTTCACCGACTCCCAGAAATAGGATTTGTTTAAAATCCCTATTTCTGGGTTATGGATCATCACAGTTCATCATCATCAACAGCCTATATGATCCCATTGCTAGACTATTAGCTTCCTCTACAGAAGTACATACCATAACCCATTAGTATACAAACATAGTGGTGGCCCTAAGTTAAGGCCGCTATACCACTAGAACTTTTACTAGCGTTGACGTCAACGTTGCGTTGGAGCAGCGTCGACGCAGCGCTGACGCGAAGTTAAAGCCGCGTTGTTGCGTGTCAAGCATTAACGTTCTCTGAACGTGACGTTAACGTCGCCTTTGATGGCAACAAGTGTATGCCAAAACCTACATTTGATAGAGCAGGACGGCGTGATTGTACCTGTTGCTGTTGCCAAGCGATGTTAACGTTGTGCAGACGCAACGTTGACTTCGCGTCCAGAGGACGTTAATGCTTGTCACGCAACAACGCGACGTCAAATTTGATAAGACGCCAGTGGGATAGCGGCTTAAAAGCATGCATGAGGATGCGTGCAAAACCTGGCAAGTACCAATTTGGTGTACTATGTACTTTTTGGATTTATGGAGACCCCATTGACATAATATGGTGAAATAAAACATTCAAAGGTAACCTGGACTTGCAGTTTCTCATTCTAGCCAATTTACCTTTAGCAAAAGCGAGCTGATTAAGAGAAAAGGCCATCAGCCCAGCAGTGGGAACGTATAGGCTGATGATGATGATGATGCGCGATTATTATGATGACAACATACCTATTCCAGCTACGCCTCTATTGGGTGACATCATTGGATCATCGTAACCTTTCCTGCAAATGACGAATCAACGTTAATAACAACACACAGCTGTAACTACGCGTAGAAACTTAGAAAGTCATTTTTCCTTTTTTGAGGGAAACAGATCAACATGGAATGATTTCTCCCTTCCTGAAAGGGGCGAGCTGGAAGAGACTCTTACACTGATAATCAACCCTAATGATCCTTTTGTTTAATTACTCTTTAGAAGCCTGCACGAAACGCAACGTAGGTGTATATTAAATATATATTTTGGAGGGTGGAAATTCATTGAACGTGTTTTTTTACCCTATGTGAAAGAGAGGAGAATGTCAATTTTGGGTTAACGCTGTTCTCACATAATTGAACCAACTGTTTGTATAAGGAATCTAACATAAACAAACAAACAAACAAAAAGTATTTATTCGCGTCTGGGACGCATAAAAGATACAAAACGAACAATAATAAAAATAAAGGTAAAAATAAAAATACATTAAGAATTATACTACAATATAACAAAAGTGGAGGGTAGGAGAAAAATATGCGTCCAAGCTCGCGAAATGGCCCTCGCTCAGCATTATGCAGCGACCCCATACGAGACAGTGTCGCGGCGCTGATTTTCAGCGATGGCCGACACCAACGCATGACGCCAATCAGTGCAGAAACTTAAGCTAAGTTAAATACAAAAATGTGTTTCATATAATATAATTGTTGGATTAGTATCCTACTATAAAACAAAAAACAAACTACCTATGATTAAAATAAAAGGGAAAAAGTAAAATAAAAATACTAAATATTAGAAGTATTACTATGAAACACTTGTCAGTGGCAACACTGAACGAATGAAAGCGACGCTTGCGCTTCCATTCCATTCGATCAAAAAGTCTATTCTTTCTGCCAGCTGCCACTAACGATTTATTGTAGTAATTAGACAATAGTAATTGTATTACATAATGGCGACACATACCAATGATTATTATGCAATCCGCCGTGTAAATAATAGTAAATATTATGGAGATAAGTGGTTTAAATATGTTGTGTTGTGAGATAAAAGAACATGAATTGTGTAATGACAATATGAAATAATGTGTAGTATGCTGTAGTTGTAAAATGTGACCAGGGAGGTCGATCGAATTCTAATCTGTGTGTGAAACTAATTTAAAAAGAGTAACCATGGAGTTTCTTGCTCGTTCTTCTCCATCGGAATCTACACTTTGGAACGCTTCACTAGGAGGACTGACCGACAGGCTGACACTACACGTATCTTCCAAATTTTGTTTGACGTTCAAAAGTGCCTGTAAGGGTCTAATTGGAATAAATGATTTTTGACTTTTGACTTTGGGGCAAGAAAGACTGACTAAAAACCATCCCGCTTCTTCTTCTCCTCCAAGCGGGGGCTACGGTTATTATTGAGCTTAGATTTACAACCCTGTACAATACACTAAATCCATGATTGAGTTGCAAATATGTTAAGTTTACTTACATATCCTTTCCATATTCATTTAAGCCAGGATATTCATTCTTCAAGCGGTTCCCGTTAAGCATTTCAATCTTTCGCTTCAAACGCTCACTGTCAGCGGCGTTACAATCAGTGATGGGTGGCAGAGTGGTGGATACACCCTTATCCTTACAGTCATCACTGACCATGCCTGGGACACTCTTGCAGACGATGAAATAAGCAACGATGACGGATATTAAGAAGAGGACAACGAGGCACCCGATGCAAGCGTATTCTGAACTGACGATCTTTCTAAGCCTGAAATTAATCAAATTTGCAGAACAGTTGGAGATGGTTAAGTTAAACGAGTTCTTTAGTATGGAAATAGAATAGGAACGTGTGGTAATGGTTTTTTTAAGTGATAGGACGGCAAACGACGGATTACCTGATGGTAAGCAATCAGCGCCGCCCGCGGGCACACGCAACAACGAAAGAGTTACAAGTGCGTTGCCGACCTTTTAGGGATTAGGATTTTGGGGTTTTGGGTATGGGAGAAGGGGAAGGATTGGGTCTCTGGTAACCTCAGTCACACGGTGAAACCACGCTGTGATTGTTTCACGCCGGTTTTCTGGGAGGCCATGGCATCACTCCAGTCGAGCCGACCCATTCGTGCCGAAGCATGACTGTCCCACAGTTAATGGTGGGGATTTTCTTGACAAAGCTTTGATGGCGTATTTACACGAGGAGAGTGACGAATGCGTATTTGGTAACAGTGCGTTTGCTGCAGATATTTGTTTTTTTGGGATCAGATTTTGAAAGCAAATCGAGGGTCAATGGGTATTGAGATAACTTCAGCCAAATATGTCATCTGTGTGTCAGATGATGAGCTGGATGACGATGCGAATGATGAGGCAAATGATGTAACAAATGGTGAACAAGAATATGGCATGACAAAGAAAGTATTAAATGGAAGAAAAGAAAGATACTGAGCTAAAATGGTTGGTCTGTTAAATAAAAATATAAAAGATACAATGATAGAATTAACGATAATTTATTTATCTTAAGACTTCCACAAGATAAGTTAGAATGACTGATTTGAGGATCGGGAGATGGAGCCTGCAACAGCTACTAACATGAGCTAATCTGTGGCGACACACATTGAAGATTGACATATAACGGATACCTTTCACAAATGCTAAATCACGCAAGTGAAGTTTGCGTGCGTTTAAACACAGAATATCCCAACGTATATCTGTTAGACAGTTATAGGCCAATCACATCGCCCGGTCAGAAAATTCTCCTTTTCCGATCTTAGGGAAAACTACTCTACCCATTCCCAAAAATTTTGATATAAAAATGCAACAACGAAATACAAAAACAAATGACTCACGCGCATGAGACACAAGAGCAGGTCTCGTCGTTTGATGCTGACTTCTTCGGTTTTTCTTTTTCTATTTCTTTGTCTTCTTTGTTATTCTGTTTTGGAAATAAACTATAGTCAAGAAAACATAAATACATATTATGAAATATCATCAAAATGGTCAATTGAAACGTTCTGTTAAAATTATGCTTTCGATTCTGTGAGGTTACAGTACAGGTCGGTGCTGATCAGATGTTAAATTTATTAAAAAAAAGGTTAAAACTATTTCTCGTTAGTCGTTATACTCCACAAAAATGATTTTTTTGTGTATCGTTTAAATTAAAATTTGAAGACACGTCTAAATTTCGTTTAATTTTACAATTTAGTACAACAGAATTAGCTTTAATGTTACAATATTTATATACATAACAAAACTATGAATGAACCCTTACCCAAAACCACCAACTTTCCTTCTTCTCACTCTGGTAGGGCTGAAATTAAACAAATTTTATAAAACGAATTCTCAATCATAGTAAAACTTCCATAGTATCAACACTATTATGATGATAATACCATACTTCCAAGTATTCATCATCAGATCTGCATCATCAAATTGCGATAATTCGGTCCTGAGGTACCAATGTTCTTCTAAAAAATTCTCAATTTAAGCCCAGTCTGGCTTCCCTTCCTACAACTTAGAGCTCATTATATGAAATGGAGAAAAGAGGTATGATTTAAAAGAACCAGTACCAAGCTCCGAGTCCTGTTTTGGGCGAAATCAGCTCTCTGATCAGTAGAAGAAGATTTGTAAGGAGTTCCTCTCTTACGTTGCTCTGAACTGCTTGACTCACAGGACCTCTGAAATTGAACGCACCGTTAGCATCACCATCATTTATATCTTCTTTATAATCATCATCATCAGCGACAATACGTACACTGCTGAACAAAGGCCTCTCTCTTAAGATGGTGCTGGTCAAACTTTCTCGCTTGGCAGGCGGCTTGGTGATTGGGGTTTGGCTATCGTAAATTTGTTGCTTGCGGCCAGCTGGTTCCAGATTTTGGGAGTCCTATTTAGAGATTGGAAAGGAAATATAAGTATTATTGTTGAGCAAAGGCCTTTTCGCACAGGCGACTGTCTCTTTATTGCTGTCTGTGCGAAGATGCCTTTGCTCTTTCTTCGATCAGAATCAGACCCGAAGGTATAACACTGAGATTTTAGCGCGCGTTTTAAAGATCTATCAGATCACCACAGACGAGGCTGACTAGGACCGATGCCTGACCTGCCCTGGAGAGGGCAGTGTAAGGTAATGATATAGCGATCCGGCTTAAAACCTAAGTTGGAACGGATTGGTTCTTTTGACAGGAATAGTTTTACGTCTAGTGGGAGAAGCCATTCGATGATAGTGCCCCTCAAAAATTAATTGTATCTGTAATAATTATCGGTATTGCTTGCATGTCAAATGAATGCATGTTTATTGAAAATGAAATCAAACCAGCTCGTGCTGGCCTGCCCCAATGCTGGATGATAAAGAGTAAACGAAGTTTTTTGAAAAGATATGTCAAATAAAGTCAACAACTGTATTTTTTTATTCTTTAACGAGGAGCATTTTTGGCATATGGGATGATAATTTTTCTCTTCTTAATAACAAAGAAGTGAAGTGGGAAACAGTGGACGCCTTTTCTGTATCTGTCTATTCTCTTTTGTAACTGTTTGTTTAGCAACAGTTACTTTATATATTTTTTCAATAAATATCTATTGTATATTTTAATATTTTATATGGATTAACAAAATTTAAATGATTTTCAAGGTTATCAAATTGTTTCTTACAAGCATTTACGTACGTTGCAATATGTGCATGTAAGTTTACGGAGTGGAATTTAGAAACAACATTTTGCCTCAGACTCTTCTACCTATTGAACTGAAATGTTGTACACACATTTAGTTTTGCAAGACTATAAATGATAAGCGCTATGACGGGACTCAAAATCCACAAAAAAATTCTCTAAAGTGTTTAGCCGCAGATATTAACGCAGATAATTTATGAATTATTTTCACTGTTACCTTCCAACTGGTTACTACATCTAGACTCACACGATCAGTCTTACTTCTAGAACCAGAGTATTGTCTTCTCTTTTTATCTTCTTTCTGCTCCATTAGGAGATTCCTCTTTTCTGGATCACTGGAAAATATTATTCATCATTACCAACTACAGGTTTATGAAAGAAAGAAAGAAAACACATTTATTCGACAAATAGGCACACAAATACAAGTATATAAAAATACATAATAAGAACACAGTATTTATGAATACAATAATAAATTAATAAACAAAACAAGAATAACATATAAAGTATTAAAAAAGAAAAAAAAAACGAAAATAAAACGCTAAAATAATAACATTCATGTGCCCATGCCAAAAGGGCCTCCACCTCAGCATATAGTTGAGCAAATATGCTCAACGCTGATTTTCAGGTGGCACCCTGCACTGACTCACGTCACGGACGGCGGTACCGCCAATCAGTAAAGAAAAGAAGTAAGAAACATAATGTGAATATAGAAGAAAGTGTGCGTGTATGAATATATTATCCAAATTATTCAGATATGAATACATTTTATATCATAATAAGTAAATACAATCTTTTTTTAAAATATGATACATAAGGGAGTTAATTGCTACATGTTCTTTTTTTAATTAACTGGGGGTTGTCGAAAAATGTTTTTGGCTATTTGTAGGTATACTAGACAGGTACTATTTAGTGACACCCGTGCTGAGCTCTCGTTCACTTTGTCGCGTACCCCCCACAAGGATACAGTTGCCCTCCACCAGCCACAGGACACAAAACTCAGGCAGCAAAGTTTACGAGTAGTGGAGTGATTGTAATAAAATAAATAAATAAAAGTAATGGCGAAGTGCAAGTAGTACAAACACCGTGATTACTCACGCAAAAATGCAAAAACTTCCAAGCTAGTGTAAAAAGTAAGTGAAAATTGACTAATTTGGAATTGGAATAATAAACTGAAATTAGATAAAAGACTTGTCAATATTCATGTCGCCGAATTTAATTTGAGATGTCACAATAAAAGATTTTAATTTTAACCTAAATGATTTTTTATTTTTCAGATCTCTAATTGGAGGCGGAATATTATTCCAACATTTGGAGGCCGCATAACGGAAGCTGCCACGAAAGGCTGCAGTCCTGTGCTGAGGAATGGCGAGCTGCTGAGCACATCGCCTACCTTCAAGCTCCCGGTGACTGCCAACCCATGAAAGCCTAGCGTACAGGTATGGAGGACACTTGTGTTTTATCACGTCGAACATTAAGACAGGCGAGGTGGAGTTTACGACGTGATTTCATTTTTAAAACATTGTGTTTGTTTAAAAAAGGCGTAACATGACTCCTCGGTGGAACATTGTAGCAAAATCGTGCGCAAGCATTCTGTACTCTTTGTATTAATCTCCCGGTGCGTGCCAAAAGCCTGGGGCCTATGACTGTATCTGCGTAGTTTAGTTTTGATAAAACCAAACTTTCCACCAACCGCACACGCAGTTCCTCGCACAAGTAGGGTCGTATTTTATATAAGATTTTCAGACGATAAAAGCAGCCCCTCACGCAGTCCGAAATAAAACGTTCAAACCTTAGACCTTCGTCCATTACAAGGCCCAGGTTCCTCGCCTCACTTACTCGCTCTACACTTTGTCCCTTAACATTAATGGTTACGGAGGTGCTCATTGGTATCTTATTCAATAAGCCTGGGGTGCCGAATATCATAAATTTGGTTTTAACTGGATTTAAAATTAACGAGTTTCTTTCTGACCATTCAAATATACCCTCCAAATCTTTGTTAATTTGTTTGATGGCAAACTCATAGTCTTGTGGTTTAAAGGATAAATATATCTGAAGGTCATCAGCGTACATGTGGTATTGACAATGATTGATTTCTTTTACTATGTCTGCGCTATATGTGATAAATAGTGTGGGGCCCAGAATTGAACCCTGCGGCACGCCTTTTATTAGGGGAGTTGTTTGTGACTTATTAATATTTCCCTTTTGGTCTCGTAACTCGACGTATTGGGCACGGTTGCTGAGGTAACTGTCAAACCATTTCACAGTTGAAGTATCAAAGCCATAAAAAGCCAGCTTCGATAGTAGTAGCGTCAAATTTATGGCATCGAAAGCCCTGGAAAAGTCTAATAACACCAAAATGGTACAGAGGCCCTTGTCCTGAGCAGATAGTATGTTATCAGTGACATCGAGCAAAGCCGACGTCGTGCCGCGACCTCTCCTAAAACCAGACTGTAATTCAGGGAGAATGGCATTTGCCTCTAGATACTGTGTCAGCTGTGTATTTACCACCTTCTCCAGCACTTTAGACAACAGGGGCAGAATACTAATGGGTCTAAGGTCTGTCACATCGGTAGGGGAGCATTTTTTTGGTATCGGGCGTACAATTGCCAGTTTCCAATGGTCAGGAAAGGTTGAGGTGCTGATTGATGTATTTATGATGTTTGTCAAGTATGTCAAAGTGTATGGTAGTGTCATAATGAACATGTTGAGAGTAATACAATCATGTCCTTCGGCGTTAGATGTGAGACCTTTTATAATTTTAATAATATCACTGTCATCAACCGTTCTGAGTGTGAAAGTACTGTCAGCGAATCTGTGATACTCATAATAACTCAAACTACTTATAGACGAGTTCATGGTTCCAGGTACATTTAGAAAGTGGGTATTTATTTTATTCGGATCATTAAAATGTGACGGTAGTTCGGCCTTCCGATTTAGAGGCAACAAGGTTGTTTTTATATTATTCCAAAGGATTTTAGGAAACTTAATTTTGTTGTTTATATTTGTCTTAAAGTAAGCTACTTTCTCATAAAATAGTGATTTTCGTACGAGTGCTTTAAGGTCTTTGTAATATTTTTTTTTTGATTCTGACTTAGTTTTTATATAACTTGCATAGGCTTTGTTTCTCAAATTCATCATGAGTTTAATGTTATCCGTAATCCATGGATACGATTTTTCCCTAATAACATGCCTCTTGAGAGGAGAATGTTTGTCAAAAAGGTTAATTATACATTGGTTTAACCTGTCCACCATGACGTTTATATCACTTGACTGACCAGCCAGTGACCAGTCAGTAGATTGCAAGTCATTGTTAATTAGGCTCATAGCCATATTTTAGTTAGGCTTATTTTAGTTAGGCTCCTCTTGGTAACAGTAAAAGGCAGTGGCTTGTTCCTTCCAAAGTTGAACATCACAGTCACAAAAGCATGCGCTCCTAGTGCCTCGATTGGGTCTACTACATGGCTAATAACGCGAGCGTCCGTGCAGACAAGGTCAATGAGAGTCTCGGTAGTGTTTGTGAAGTGCGTGGGCGATGTTATTATTTGTTTTAAATTAAAACAATTCAAAAATGAGTTTAATTTGCTAACTTTTATCTCAGAGCGGCTCAAACAATTAATATTGAAGTCTCCAAGGAGAACAGTCTGGTCACAAAATGAAACTGACTCAATAGATGCAGTAAGACCGTCGAAAAATAAATCAACATCAAACCAAGGTGGTCTGTATGCCGTGCCCACGGCAAGCCTCGCACCATTAATGTTTAACATTTTTATCAACAACGGGTTTGGCCTTCTCGTCCAAAGAATGAATAGGCGTTAATCATCACTCTTGCTTAAGGCGGATTGCCGAATTCAAACTAACACCCGGTTCCTGAAGGCTTGTCAACGCTAAAATTAACTAATCTCCTGTTAAATCTCTTGTCAAGTCATCTGATTGGTTGTTGAAAATTCAGTCAACCAATCAGATGACTTGACAAGAGATTAAATTGATTTTAACACTGATCGGCTTTTTGGAAAACGGTGTAAGAATCATAAGTCCAAATTTTCTAACGATGTTTTCATTTACAGTTTGTCAGAAATATCTAAGTAAATAATCTAAGAAAGTATAGAAAATAAGCATACGCATAAGCTTTTGTTGGATTATGAACTGAGGCACCTGACTCCGACTCGCAAGAACAGGCATATACTTTTTTAACATTTTCACGTGGATTAATTTTGTTTCGCCACAAATGTGAAATCACACCGGCGTTATACTTTGCTATTGTGAAAATAAAGTTACCGAGGACCTATTATCAGCAGGCAGGCCAATATACTTATGATTCGGATTAGGCTGGCACCGATAGCTTACCATCAGGTAAACAATAGGCTGCTTTGCCATATTTTCTTTAAGAAGAATGAAACAGCTTACTCTTTCTCTCTTGTCATTATTTCCTTAAAAATCTTCAGCAGCGGTGATTGTGTTTCTTTGTCAACCTTTCCATGGCTGAAACATACCTACAAATATTTAATACCTTTCTTTTCTCCCTTTTGCTCCCTACCGTGTCCTTTATCCTATTACTAGGTTACATCAAAGAATTTTAGTCGACTTCAAAAAAAATTCTAGCTTTCTTAGCTTTCAACGTCTTGTTGTTTTTTTTTTTTGTTTGATATACATTCGTTTTATATACTTGTTATGAGGTAATTTGTAACAAGCCCTGCTACCTCTTCATCAAGATCTAAGGGGATGACACGTGTGACAAAGTTTTAGAGGAAAGATCTCAAAGTTGATCACTGGCATTCTTGCTACAGCATAGAAGAAGGAAGGTAGACGCTTTAAATTGGCAATAGACCACCACAGATAGAGTAGGTACTAATACGGGCGATTATCAGCCTGGGTTGCTGGTGCAGACGCAGTAATGTACCAAGTGCCTGGAGCAGGAGAAGTTGCTTCTCCAGGCAGGGTTGGATTTTAGACAGAGTCTGAAACTTCCTCTGGCCTTACCAAGGGCGCGAAAAGCAATTTGATATTTTTGCCCAGAAAACAAATGTGCCTACTAAACAATTTGCCAACAAGGTCCCACTACAGATAGGGTAGGTGCTAATACTGGGGGTTATCATCCAGGGTTGCTGGTGGAAACGCAATAATGTACCAAGCCCCTGCCTGGAGTAGGAGAAGCAAAGGGTTGGGTTTTAGACAGAGTCTGACACTTCCTCTGGCCTCACCAAGGGTGCGAAAAGCAATTTGATATTTTTGCCCCCAAAAAACTATGCTTACTACGGACACAATTTGCCAACAAGGTCTCACATAAAGGCGAATTGTTTGAACTTGTACTGAGCAACCTTCCATGCTTGGTTGAGATGGTATTGCATATGTGTATCTGAGTGGTCTTTGTGCTTTGGATCGGAAGTAAATCCTGTTTCAAATTCTCAATGAGTAAGAGGAGCCGGCAAATCGTCCCAAAAACCGCTGCAACTCCTGTGCACCAGGATCTACAGTAGATACAACCATGAAAACACCGGAACACTGAAGTCCGGCGCGACCCAGGGTATTGAATGACTGACTTGGATCCCGCTACGAAATAAACTCCGCCCCTAAGACGACCCACTGACCAATAAATCAGAAGATACTATTTGAGGACAAAAAAGAACACTTGACAATAGTTTCTACAAGTCTTGGTAAATCTTTGCCTGTCTGAGACATTAGTATTCCCTTAATCAAAGTTAGAGGGAAAGTTCTTTATATTAAACGCAATCGACTATGCTCCAAAAAGCTGAATAAGGGATGAAAGAGAATTTCTATGGCATGATCATGAAATAATATTTTCTCTTTCGAAAATTTGACGTGTCAACTGCCCATGTAAGTGTCAGTCAACTGAGAAAATAATCCTACAAGAATTTCCTATTTATCCCATTGCTATTTTTCTACGGGCAGTTGCCTAAATTAAAAATTTTACATTTATTGATAAAATAAAATTGAAAAACAACGATCTTACCTGTAATTCCTTATTCCCATATTATTTATGACATCGAATTCTTATTTTTAAAGACATTTCATAGTTTTATTTTGACAAAGAGTTCTTGTTGGATGCAAGAAGTTTGTATTACTTGGGTCTTTTTACTATCAGTTTTCTTTTATATCGGTCGGTAAATGAACAGACGGATAACTAATGGTAATCATTGGCGCTGCCAATAGGCAACCACAACACCATAGGAGTAGTCAGTTCATTGCCGGCCTTTTTAGAGTTAGAGGTGGTGTGGATTGCGGCTCCACTGAGTTCAAAGGATTACCGTCCCCGATCGCATAATAATTATTATAATGAATAATTGCAATCTGTAAATATCAATGTGCGAATTTGTGTAACGGATGTCTGAAGCGACGTTGGCGCTCTGTATCCATTTTTTTTACGGTTCAGTCGGCAAACGGCAACCGACGCTGCTTAGTGAAACTGTCAACCCCAGGATTTGAAGGGCAGGGAAGATTGGATCTGTAGTAACGACACAAGTATATTTTCACAAAGGTTTTCTATGAAACCGTGGTATCACTTCAATTTTACCGAAAGAGTGGAATTGAATCCAATATGGAAATTATTACGATAGGTGGTGACTGTCCTTGGGCGTACGTTGGAAATGTTTCTATAGTTCATTGCAATCACCTTTAGACTGAAATTATTCAATGGGCGTCTGTGAGTTGGCTCCAGTCCCTCGTACACCTTCCAAAAGACAGGGATAGTATTGCTTCGTGCAAGAAAAAAAAATAGCAATAGGCTTACCCACGACACTATAAGACTTAAAACATAACTTGTGCAAATTTTTCAGCTCTACAAACCCCTCAGAGATTAAAAAGCGTGAAACATTGTGTGTTTCATTTTAACACACCAAAGTTATGAAAAAACATATAACAGCATGTAAAACGCCTGTAAAGTCACTTGCAATTGAAATAACACAATTTCAGGCACCAAGTCTTGTCGGATCAACTTTACTATTTCAGCCGAATGTCTTTAAGGTGTGACCTTTGTAATAGCGGGAGCGATAACAGATACAGTCAACCTCGCTACCATCAGTTGACTGGACATCTAGACTACATGAGCTGCTGTTTACATGTGAACATTAGCTCATGAGGATACCTAAGTACGTGTGTCGCCTGGACAGTCACCGCTACCATCAGTTTACTGGACATCTACACTACATGAGCTGCTGTTTACATGTGAACATTAGCTCATGACGATATCGAAGTACGTGTGTCGCCTGGACAGTCACCGCTACCATCAGTTGACTGGACATCTACACTACATGAGCTGCTGTTTACATGTGAACATTAGCTCATGACAATACCTAAGTACGTGTGTCGCCTGGACAGTCACCGCTACCATCAGTTGACTAGACATCTACACTACATGAGCTGCTGTTTACATGTGAACATTAGCTCATGACAATACCTAAGTACGTGTGTCGCCTGGACAGTCACCGCTACTATCAATAAACTGACTCACCCAAGTGCACGAAGCGATTCGCCTCCGGTTTTTCACAAAACCTCTAAAGAATGGAACTCTATTCCGAAGTCTATGTTTCCCGAAGAGTATAATTAAACTGAGTGTCTTCAAGACTCGAGTAAATAGGTTCATTATGAGTAGGTTTACCAGTCTAGATAGCAGCCAAAGCCCGGCTCATAGAATATTAAAAAAAAACCTACAGAAGAAGAGATGGATTGGGCAATGCTTCCTATATAAAAATGATCCATAGATCAACTTTGAACTATCACGATTTATTACATCGACAATATCTAACAAACTAGCAGACGGATTACCTGATGGTAAGCAATCAGCGTCGCCCATGGACTTGGCTTGGCTTTTAAGGAGTTACTACAACTGTGTTGCCTTTTGTAGATTATTATGGATTGGAGTTGAGGATCGAGGATGGACGTGCAAAAATTGGGCTTGAAACATCCTCTTTCACACGGTAAAATACAACGTACTACCTTTATGTGTTTTCACGCCAGTTTTTCATGAGGCCGTACTCCGATTAAACCGTATTAACCGTATTCGCGAAAAATCATAGCTCTCGTACACTTGGAAGTTTTAAAACGCTTTCCGCTTCAGCGTAACCTTGTAAACACACCCTAAAAACGCCATCCCCTTCAATTTGAACATGTTTATCGCCGTTGCATGAAAAACTAAGTACAACACGAGTTATAAAAAACATGTTTTTTAAGGATCACTCAGAGATATTGCTTCATAAACTTCGAATTGGACGGGTTCGGGTTGTTACATAAATATATTTCAGTTTATTATGGGCAACTTTTGCCGAAATAATTGCTGTATAAATGTCTTTAACAAGAGTGTTTTATATCTTTCAAACATTAAGTTGGAAGATGTGGGTTCAAAACCTGGCAAATACCAATGTGACTTTTTCCGAGTTATATGTACTTTCTATGATTATTTAGACACCACTGACATACGGCGAAGGTAAACATCGTGAAGAAAACTGGATTTATAATTTCTAATTATAAGTTTGAAATCGCCAACCCGCATTGAGCAAGCGTGGTGATTAATGCTCTAACCTTCTCCGTGTGAGAAGAGGCCTTTGCTCTGTAGTGGGCACTTATAGGCTGATTATGAAATATTAAGTTCGGATATAAATTTATTGGAGAATAACATATTTAGTTTAGTGTTCTCTTTAAGAATTGACTTAAATAATATATTTTTTTTATCTGATAGAACAAAAAACTAGCTTGTGGATCTATGGATGGTAAGTGATCAGCGCTGCGCATAGCCAACAACAGAGTATTGATGAGTGCCTTGCTGTCATTTGGAGATTAGGGTTTTGGAGATTTAGGTGTTGGGGGATGGGGAAGGATTGGACCTCCAGTAACCTCGCTCACACGGCGAAACACAACGCTGTGGTTGTTTCACGTCGGTTCACTCTAAAAAAAATAGGGTAAAAGCACCCGTACCATTCCGACCGCTTACTCAGAAATTTTAGTCTAGTTCAATTTTTTCCCGAACATTTTGAAGATCCGCATCGCGTAGGGCGTTCGGTTTGGGGGATAAATGTGACCCCAACGGATGTAAATGCGACCCGTTGATAAATAAAGAAAGAGGTTAAACTGTTAGAGGTGGGCTACGTAAACATCGTCTTGTTAAGGGTTGGCACGAGACGAAAAAAAAAATAGTTTGGTTATTTTTTAGTTTATTTAGCTTTTTCATATAATAGGTATAGGATGGCAAATGAATTGAAACAAACCTAATGGTAACAACTAAACAACTTTATACATTAATTCGTCAAACCCTAAGCGAACGCCGGCGATACCTATTGTTTTTCTATTATGTCTCGACAAACCACGATAAAAACGTTAATAAAAGTGACTGTCCTTTTTTTACCCGACTACGGCAAAGCAAAAGGAGGGTTTTACATTGGCGGGAAATGGAGTTTGTGTGTTAGTTCTTAGCTAAGGTGAAACACAATAATGCACACGAATTACGTATAATATTATGTAACGTTTATTAGAAGACTGTCATACACATACACATTGGACGTATCAAACACAACAAAGCAAATATAGATACTATTTTACAAGATTTTGGCGGGAACGAGCGAGATCCGCGGAAGATAACTGTTCCGGGCGTTAGAAGCGGGCGCGCGACTCGACTGACTCCTGAGTGGCGGGAGCGCGGTAACGCGGCGCGGGCACAGGGCGCATGCGCGGGCGTTGCGCGGGCGGTGCGCGGTCCTTACGTGGCCGACGCGGTACCTACTGCTTAACGGTCTACCGTTTCGCGCCACAATCCGCGCGCGATAGTCTCCCCCTCTAACCCAAACGAACGTCCTCGCGTTGGGGTTAGCAAAATCTACGAGGCCTCCCCCTCTTTCGTTTCTCCTGTACCGGGTCTTGGATGCGACCGACGAAGGGAGTCAACACAGAAGCATCATTCTTACCTAGCACCGTACCATCGCTGAGGCGCTCGAGAGTGTATGTGGTGGGACTGACCTCTGGATCCTTCATTTGATTCTCGCGCACGTCCTTCAGACTGCGAGAGGGCACGTCGACCGCAGGGCAGCACAGGTCACAGTCGGCATCTTCGGCACATGCTGGGCGCGACAGATTGTCGGCTATAACGATCGCCTTACCTGGAGTGTATTCTAACGGGCGCTCGTCGGTCCCCTCCCCCTGGAGGAGAACCGCCCCGAGAGCGTATTCCACTGCTGTCGGTCCTGAGGACGAAAGGCAACGTCGCATCAGCCTGACGCAGGATCGGCGCCAATACCAGCAGGTGCTTGATCTTCTCGAAAGCAGCTTGCTGGTCCGGGCCCCATTTCCATACACTTACCTTTTTCACCAGCGCTGTCAATGGTTTGGCGACCTCTGCGTAACCAGGGATAACACGCCTGAACCAGCCGTTGCGCGGTGTAGGTATATTCGCGATTGCCGCGGTCTTGCCTGGATCTACGTGAATACCACCCACCGAACACGATTTCGCTTAGACGAGTCGTTCGAGTTAGAGGTGAGTTTGGGACTAGTGGTTGCGTTCGAACTCGTAGTAATACTCCGATCGGGAACAGTAGGTATGTTCGAATTGTTCGCGGGAACGTTTGAGTTTTTTAGCTCAGTTATCGAATCCTCTGTGAGTCTCGCTCGCTCTAACAGATGTTCAATGTCGGTGATGGTGTCTCGTGACACCCGTTTTCTTATACGCCGGTGTAATAAACCGTACACTATATGTCTACCATTATCTCGTTCGGCACAGAATAGGGTACCTAACTGTATAAGTATACATCGTACCTTTGACACAAAACTTCAGCACGTTCGCACTCACTATGTTCACATTGAATTACCTCGCGCAGTATCATAATATGCGCGGGCTTTCGCACGCCGTAGGTAGCGCGCAGGCGCGCTAGCGCGTCTGGCCCCCACCGAGCGTGTGGTCGAGAGCGGCGCCCCTCCGGGCGCGCGTCTCCTCGGCCGCGTCGTATGATGCTGTGGCAGGCGCGCCGGTCCGGGGCCCACCGAGCGTGTGG